CTGCTGCTGCTGCTGCTGCTGCAGCAGCAGCAGCAGGCTGCTGCCGCACGTCCAGCCTGCTGGGGGGCAAAGACTGCAGCAAATCGATTTGGCGAGAGACTGGCAGCAGCAGCAGCTCGTTGTAGACGTCCCCAGGAAGCTGCAGCACGCTCAAACCCTAAACACTAAACCCCAAACCCTAAACCCTAAACCCCAAACCCTAAACCCTAAACTGGTAAGCGCCAGCAGAGACAGCACAATGGCACAGAGGCTGATGGTGGCTGAGAAACTGGGGTTTGCAGATTACCGAAAAACGGAAATCTAGGGTTTAGGGTTTAGGGTTTAGGGTTTAGGGTTTACGTTCGTCCACTTGTGAATTTGACGCCGCCACTGGCCCAGCACTTCTCGCCACTGAGCCACACTGAGAGGCTAAACCACCCAAACCCCAAACCCTAAACCCTAAACCCTAAATTCCAAACCCTAAACCCTAAACTCTAAACCCTAAATTCCAAACCCTAAACCCTAAACCCTAAACCCTAAATTCCAAACCCTAAACCCTAAACCCTAAACCCTAAGCCCTGAGCCCTCAGCCTTCGGCCCCAAACCCTAAACCCTAGACCCTGACGTCTAGGGACTACGCCTCGGTGCCGAGGACCAGAGAGCCAGTGTCTGGACCCCAGACCCTAAACCCTAAACCCTAAACCCTTACTGCTGCTGGGTCTGGGGTTTGGGGGTGCCACGAGTCTCTGAAGCTGCTGCTGCGCTGCTGCGGCGGAACAGCAGCAGCAAAACGGCTGTAGCCCTCTCCCCCTTTGGTCAGCAGCAGCTGCTGCTGCCGCTGCTGCTGCTGCTGCTGCGTCAGCTGGCGGCCCGCCTGGCGCTGGAAGTGGTGCTTCCTGCTGCTGCTGCTGCTGCTGCTGCCGCTGCTGCTGCTGAGGTGGTTGTCCTTTGGAGGCGTGAGAGGGATTTTCCGACGCTGCTGCTGCTGATGCAGCTGCTGCTGCTGCTGCCGCCCCTCATCACGGCGCTGCCACTGCTGCTGCTGCTGCTGCTGGTAGCAGCCGTAGTAGGCAGCACATTGTTGAGCAGCACGCTGCATTCCCCCTTCAAACCCTAAACCCTAAACCCTAAACCCTGAATCCTACATGGCTTGAGTGACGAGAGAGGGACGCCATGAGCCCTTCCCTCGCACGGGGGTTTAGGGTTTAGGGTTTAGGGTTTAAGCACTAGCAGTGAATTAAAAAAGGCAAATATGCAGCAATTTAGGCTCTAGGGTGTAGAGTATAGAGCTTCAGGGCTCGAGTTTTAGGGTTTAGGGTTTAGGGTTTAGGGTTTAGAACGCTAGGGCAACAAGGTGAGTACAAAGTTATATTTGTTTTTAATCTGGGTTTTAAAAAATTGCTCATTTAGGGTTTAGGGTGTAGAATTTCGGGTTTAGGGTTTAGGGCTGAGGGTTTAGGATTTAGGGTTTAGGGTTTGGGGCCCCCGGGCCCATCCGCAGACGCTGAGGCCCGACTCACTGTGTAGTCGGCGCCTGTCCAATAGAACTAAACCCTGAACCCTAAACCCTAAATCCTAGCCGCTAAACCCTAGCTTCCAAACCCTAAACCCTCAGCCTCAAACCCTAAACCCTAAACCCTAAACCCTAAACACAGACTGCCGCTGCCTGCAACTCCTGCAGCCTCCGCCCGCCTCAGCTTGTGGCTGCGTTCCCGCAGCAGCAGCAGCAGCAGAAGCAGCAGCAGCAGCAGCGACAGCAGCAGCAGCAGCAGCAAATATTCCTTCAGGTGTTCCAAAGGCTGCTGCAGCAGTAGCCGGGCCCTAGGGGGCCCCCCTCACAAGAATGCCGGGTAAGCGATGTAGACCCTAAACGCTAAACGCTAAACCCTAAACCCTAAACCCTAAACCCTAAACCCTAGACCCTAATGAGCTAAGCTAGGATCAAGACGCCTCCACTACGCTTGCTGCTTCAGCTGCAGCATCCAAAGCTGCCGCTGTTGTTGCTGCTGCTGTTGTTGCTGCTGCTGTTTTTGCTGCGGTTGG